AGCCAGCCAGACAGCAGCGCCAGAGCAGCAGCCAGTCAGCAGCCCAGCAGCAGCAGTCAGCTGCAGCGCAGCAGTCAGCCCAGCAGCTTTAGCAGCAGCAGCAGCAGCAGCCAGCAGCGCAGTCAGCAGCCCAAGCAGCAGCCAGCAGCAGCAGCAGCAACAACAATGACAACACCACTGCTGGTTGCTACTAACGGTGATGTTAATAGCTCGCCCACACCACCGTGTTGTACGTCGAGGGTAGTTGATGAGTTATGCTAAGACGTCTGCTGGTGTGTACGTTGCGTGCGTGTGTCTGTTGCGTGCGTGTGTTCAGGCTGTCAGCGTGTGCGTGTGTGTGCGCGTTTCGTGCGTGTGCGTGCGTGTGTGAGGCTGTCAGGTAGTGTGACAGCTCTGTGTGCCACGTGCGTGTGTGTGGCGTGCGTTGTGTGAGGGCTGTGCAGCGTGTGTGTTGCACGTGCGGCGCAGGTGCCACCCGTCCTACGTCGGTGTGCGCCGTGTGTGTGCACGTGCGTGTGTGTAGCGTGTCGGTGTTGCCGTTTGCGTTGTGTCAAGCCGTCAGCGTGGGCGTCGTGTGTGCGTGGTGCGTTCGTGTCGGAGGCTGTCATGCGTGCTGGGTTGTGCACGTGCGTGTGGATAGTGCGTGCGGTGTCAGGCCGTCAAGCGTTGTGCTCAACCCCGTGGTGTGTGTCGTGTGCGTTGTGTGAGGCTGCTCAGCCGTGTGTGCAGTGCACGTGGGTGTGCATTTGTGCGGTTGCGCATGTGTCAGGCCGTCAGCGTAGTGCTTGTGTTCAACCCCGATTGTGTTGCGTGCGTGTGTTGAGGCTGTCAGCGTTGTCGTGGTGCCACGCTGCTGTGTGTGTGGCGTGCGTGGTCAGACGGTCGTCGGCGTTCGCGTGTGTGCGTGTGTTTGCTGTGTCGTGCGTGGTGAGCGCTGTCAGCGTGTTGCTGTGCGTGCGTGTGGTGCTGTCAGGTTCGTCGGCTTGTCGTGCGCGTGTCTTGTGCGCCGTGGTGTGTGTGGTTGTGTGTCAGCGTGTGCGCATGGCTTGTGGTATTTACTTTAACTGTGTCGTGAATACACGGCGGTGTGACAGGTGGTTGAGCATGATAATGCTGTGATTACATAGTATCATCGTAACCGCCTACGTAGCGATATCAACACTAGTCCGAGCCAATTTTAATCGGATTGCCAGCAAGCAGATATGTAGCCATCAATGTATAGGTGGTTGGTGCTGCTGCTGCTGCCTGGCCTGCTGGTGCTGGCCTGCTGATTGCTTGCTTGGTGGTGGTGTGGGTGCCTGCTTGCCTGCTGCTTCTGGGTGGTAGGTGGTGGTGGTGCTTGCTGCTGCTGCTGCTCGCGTGGCTGGTTCGGTGCTGCTGCTGCCTGCTGTGGTGGCTGGTTGGTTGTGTGCTGCTGCTTGCTACTGGTGGTGGTGGTGGTTGCTGCTGCTGCTGCCTGCTGGGTGGCTGTGGTGGTGTGTGTGTGCTGCTGCTGCCTTTGCTGTTGCCTGCCTGCTGCTGTTTGGTTGCTGCTGCTGCTGCTGCTGGCTGCTGCTGCTGCTGCCCTGCTGGTGCTGTGCTGCTGCTGCTTGCTGGTCGGTGCGTGGTGGTTTGCTGCTGCTGCCTGCTGCTGGGGTGGCGGTGGTCGCTGATGTTTGGTGTTGGTACTAGGGAAACCGTGCCTCGAAACTAGGCCGTTGCGTTTCTGTGCGCACATGTCACATGTCACATGTCACATGTCACAATGTCGTATTAACGTGAGGCGTGATGAGACAGAGTGCTTCATGAAGTCCTTTAGCATGCAGCTTCTTTGTTCATTTTGCTCTCGCTTCACGCGTGCCTGGAGTTCTTGACTAACCCCGTGCGTTGCCGATGCCCTACGCTTCCTCGCTCGCTGCGTTCACCCCCCATCCTACTGATGCCCTCGACACTGGCAGCCACCAACACCTACCCAGTCTTACACATGCCTCAACCGCCGTCTCACCTTCGCCCTTCACCCTCATCTAACCTGTCCGGTTGTGCGTAAGTCGTTTGCGCCCGTAGACGGCCACCTTAAAAATTGCTTGTTTCCCCTTTACCCAACTCGCCTCTCAGGCGTTACCAGTGAGTAGGTAGTCGTGAAAATATTTTTTCATGTTGTTTTGACAGATAGCTGTGTATGTATATTGTATATTCTGTTTGGTGTATATGTTTTTTGCCCAGAACAAATTTAGATTTTTTTTTTCCTTTTTCGGCCCCGCCTCGTTCCCGTGCCGCGCCGCGCTCACGCTGCACCGCGCGCGCCACGCTAGCGTCGACGCCGGCTACTGCGCCGCGTGCGGCACGCACTTCCTAACGCGCACCGAACTCGAGACGCACAAGCTGTCTCACCTGCCGACGGAGAGCGTCGGCGACGACGACGACGACGACGACAAGGCCGGCTTCATGGCGATGCTGAACCTGCGCGGCGCTGCCACGAGAACGAGAGAAAGGGGAAGAAAGTCCGTCGTTTCCGCGGCGACGCGGCATCAGCAGCGGCGTCTCTTGCCAGCCATCAAGGAGGAGCCGCCGGCAGATGCCGCCGCCGCCGCCGCCGCTGTGCAGGCAGTGCCAGCGCGAAGCCACTGCCTGAAGCTGATTGGCCTGAACGAGGATGGCGGCGGTGACCTCGCGGACATTGCGAGCATCCTGCGCCTTGCCGCCGCGCCGCCGTCGTTACCCGATCACCACCAGCAGGACCCCTGCATTAGCTCGTCAACGTCGCCCGCAAAGACGGACGCGCGTCACGCTCGCGCGGCCGCTGACGAGAACGGCAACGTCGTCGCTGACAGCCCGACGGCGCGGGAGGCTGGCGCAGAGGATGCGGGCGTTGCTCGCGGCAACGGGATGCTGCACTGCGGGCAGTGCCGCGCGCCGTTCAGCAACGCGCGCGCGCTGAAGGTGCACTCGCGCGCGCATCTCGGCCTCGCGCCGTACTGCTGCGACGTGTGCAGCTACCAGACGATCGACCGCAGCACTCTGCTGCGCCACCTGCGCAGCCACAACGGCGAGCGGCCGTTCCGCTGCCAGCTCTGCGGATACGCGTTCACGACGAAGGCGAACTGCGACCGGCACGTGCGCAACAAGCACGTCAAGAACGCCGCGCGGTTGGACGCCCACGTCAAGACGTCGCCGCCGACTCCGCAGGTGTGCGTCACCGACACCGTCTGCCTCTACTGCGACACCGACTTCAAGTCTGCGCGTGCACTTCAGCGCCACCTGCGCACGCACCACGCGAAGCAGCGCAACGTGTTCCGGCCGTTCCGCTGCCGCGTGTGCGCGCTCGGCTTCTCGACGCGAAACAACTGCGTGCGCCACGTGATCGGGCATCACCACGAGATCGACCGCTCCCTCGCGAAGTCCGCCGTGCTTATCCAGACAGCGAGCGTCGAGACGATGCCACCGCTGCGGCCGACGGCAGCGTCCGCTCAGCAGGGGGCGCCGGCCGAGAACAGGGATGCGAGCGACGGCGACGACGATGACGACGACGACGACGACGACGACGACGACGACGGTTGCCTCGTCATCGACATGAATGCCCGCGACGGAGGCAGTCGCCGCGACGACGACGATGACAACGCGAAGCGTGCCGCAGACGATAAGAGAGCGTCGGAGTCACCGATCGATCTGTCGGTGAAGCGGCAGCAGCAGGAGCGGCACGAGCGCGACGCAGCCGCTGCCGACATCCGACCCACCGACCTTCGCGACCTTCGACCCCCCAAGCTTGCACCGGCAGATCTTCGACCGGTTGACTTTCGCGACCTACAACCTGATGCCCTGCGACCTGCCATCGAGGCGAACCTCCGCGACATGGCCACCTGGCTCGCGAACAACGTACCGCCGCCGCCGCTCGCAACGACGCAGCTGCACCTCAAGGTGGAGCCACCAGACGCCGGCGCGCCGCCTCCGCCTCCGGACCTCGACCAGCTCGTGTCGGCAAGCCTCGCGCAGCTGGACGGCTGCTACGACCGCAGCATGCACAAGTGGGTGTGCCCGCAGTGCGGCGACATGTTCAACGGCGCCGCGAAGCTGAAGGTGCACCACGTGACGGCGCACCGCGCCGCCGCCGCCGCCGGCCGCCGCCCCTACCGCTGCTACCTGTGCCCGACGACGTTCATCAGCCAGGCGAGTCTGACGACGCACCTGCAGGGCTACCACCAGGTGAAGAAGAGCGCCGCGTCGATGGCGGCCGCCGCGGGGGCAGGAGGAGGCAACGTAGCGTTGGTGAAGGCGTTGGCGCCGCCAACCTTCTCCCCGCCCGCGGCGTTCGTCTCGCCGCCGCTGTCCGCCTCCGCCGGCTTCCCCGCGGCGCCGGGCATCTTCCCGTCGTTGGCGCGGCTGTCACCGCTCGCGTACGGATTGCTGCATACTATCAAGCCCGAGCTTGCGGACGCCGTGCCGCCGCTGTTCTCCCCCGTTGCCGCTGCGCAGCCTCCGTCCACGCCGCTGACAAGCCCAAGCAGTGAGCAGCCGAGTGCGTCCGCCGCCCCGGCGATGATGACGGACGCCCCGCTTACGCAGCTGCAGATCGACGTCGGGCCGCCGGACGGAAATTACCGCGGCGACCGCGCGGCAGCGACCGATTCGTCGTCGGAGCGCGGCAGCTTCACGAGCGGCGACTCGGAGCTCGCCGACGTCAGTCGCATGATGCTCGTTACCGATAGCAACCGCTTCCAGCAGTACCTCGAGCCGACGGCTGCGAGCGGCAGCGGCTCGACAGGCAGCCCCGGCAGTGGCGGCGGCGGCGACGCGCGCCCGGACACGACGCGGCCAAGCCCGACGGGCGACGAGCGCGTGCGCAAGGGCCGCAGCTCGTACTCGCTGACGCCGCACAAGTACAACTGCCCGCACTGCAGTCGCCGCTTCCCCTGGGAGAGCTCGTTGCAGCGGCACATCCTCACGCACACGGGCCAGAAGCCGTACAAGTGCCCGAAGTGCGCCGTGTCGTTCTCGACCAAGTCGAATCGCGTGCGCCACCTGTCGCGCAAGCACGGCTCGACGCCGGCGGCGGCGGTGCCGCTGCCACCGCGCAACTCGGCCTTCCTCTGCCGGCTCTGCAAGAACGGCTACTCGTCGATGGGCAACCTGCGGCGGCACTGCCAGCTGAAGCACGGCGAGCACGACCTCGCGACCCTGCTCGCGCACGTGATGGGCCAGCAGGGCGACGGCGGGGGCGGCTCGAACAGCTTCTCCGTTCTTGACGTCACGAAGATCCGTGCGAACATGGACCGCTCGCTGGAGGTCCTCCACCACCTCGGCGACATCTCGGACGACGACGACGATGAGGGCGGGGAGGAGGCAGAGGAGGAGGAGGAGGAGGAGGAAGGGGAGGAGCCGGGCGACAGCGATACGGCGTACTACTGCCGCCACTGCGACGACGTGTTCGCGTCGATGCACGAGCTCGTGGTGCACTCGGGCGAACGCCACGGAGACGCATCGCCCGGCGTGCCGGCGTACCGCTGCCACGTGTGCGATGACAATGGCCGCGCGTTCACGCAGCGCGACGCCTGCCTCGCGCACATCCGCGAGCGCCATCCGGACGAGTTCGCCGAGGTGACACCGGGAGGCGCCGGCGACAGCGACGCGACGAGCCCGGACTATAGCGAGCGGCACTTCCTGTGCGCGTTCTGCCCGAAGCGGTTCTGGTCGTCGCAGGACTGGCGGCGCCACCTGCGCACGCACTCGGGCGAGCGGCCGTACCAGTGCCGCGTCTGCCGCCGCCGCTTCTCGCTGAAGCACAGCATGATGCGCCACCTGAAGATCCACCTCGACGAGGCGGCGGCGGCGGCGGCGGCGGCGGGAGAGGGCGCGGATGTAGGTGGCGCTGCCGACGCCATGCACGTCGACGACGGTGAGGCGGAGGAGGCGGAGGAGGCGGAGTCACCGGGCGAGGATGTGGGCGGCGGCTCGCTGGACATGATCCAGAACTTGCTGGGATTGGAGGACGCCTCAATGATTGACAAGATGCTAGAAAGTGCAGACAAGGCTGCGGAGATGCTGGGCGTGACAACATAGGCCCCGCCCACCTGCCCCGCCCATCTGCCCCACCCCTGCCCCTGTACATAGAGATGTCACTTCCTACAGAGTGTTGCACGATCTTCCATGCAAATGTGTCTGACTCTGGCTGTGGTTTCGCGAGCGAGCAGGATTGTGCGGTTGACCGACCGCGCGGAGTGACCGTTCGCGAGAACACGCAACCACTGCTGCTGCCCGCGTGATTATACGTGCGGGCGCATGCACGCATGGGGACAGGTAGGCCGTGCTTGCCCCTAGGCGGCTGTTGGCTGTGTTGTCCTGCGTGCTCGCGATCGTGCGGGGTGAGTAGCCCTGCCTGCAGGGATGCACCAGCTCATCGTTCGTTACTTACGCATGCAGGGATGCTGCGGTCGTCGGCTCGCAGGTGCGTCGCTCGTTAGCGGCGGCCCGCAGCAATGCAAAATCGGATCGTTCACCCCGCCGCGTCGTCGTCGTCTGAGCGTGAGCAGGAATGCGTCTGCACCGCAGGCGGGTGAGGATGACTAACGCGGCGAGCGATCGCGACGAACAATGCAGCGGTGCGGCGGCGCATGCGATTACGAGGTCGCGCCTCGGCGAACGTCGTGACCTCTGACCTCCGCTCCGTGGCGACGCAACGAGACTGCGTCCCATCTTTGCGACTGTGCGGCAGCATTCGCGACGCGTCATCGTGTGAGGTGTGAGGATGAAGATGCTGACGAACTGAACCCCGCACGAGAATCACAACATTCCATGCGACGAAGATTCCTGAGTGGTCCAAGGTCATGAGGAATCGACGTCCAGTAGGCATCGGGGTTTGCGACCTCACCGCTGGCACCCCAACGCTACTACGAAATCTGGGACCAGGTTAAGGATGTAGGCGGCAGCAGCGTGCCGTCGTCATGTCTGCACTAGTTATTATGTTTTATAATGTGTTATTATGCATTATGCGTTTATCGTGTGATTTAGATAGCATTTCGGCATGTGGTGTACATATACGCGTCGTGTAGGGGGGAGGCCTGGACTGTGCTAGACTGCTACCACTGTCAGGCAGGTGAGAGATGTGGGCCAGTGAACTCTGCACTGTATCGCGCGTCAGAGAGAACGGTTTCGCTCTGCCGGCTGGCTCCCAACACGCATGCATGTCATGCAGTCACACGAGACGGTGAGGCATTTGTGATGCCATTCTGAGGCAGCATAGAGACCGCAATAATGCCAAATTAAGGTGGGGTTGAGACGCATGCCTCATTCGATGCCACATTGGGGCAAGGAATGACCTAGTCTCCATATCTCTCTTTAGAGGGAATTGAGATAAGGACGAGGTGGAATCAAGATATGGTTCGATAACCATAATGGGTTTATACTGATCGCCCACTGATTACAATAATGTGTACGATGTGTGCAATAAGGCAAATTTACGATGTAAGCTAAGTTTATGACATAAGGCAAGTTAATCATATGAAGCAAGTTAATCATATAGAACAAGTTACCTATATGAAGCAAGTTTGCCTATGTATAGCAAGGTTTGGATAGACCCCTCTGTTAAAGGGCTTCACACGTGATAGGCCTATCTGCATGCCGGGGTGTGATAAGCATGCCCCCTTGGATTGTTGCCCGGTCATTCAGGCTAGATGTATTTATAAGGGTTTTTCACCCGCACACGCCACATTGTCAACTTTCCGTCAGGTTGTTACTAAGTGGCGATTGCAGACCTCCCCTATCACCACACTTATTGGCTAGAGCTGGCTGTCGGTCATCGATCTCACGCTGATAAGTCGATTCTACCACGGGTGTTCCCTGATTTAGTTAGCTGCGAGGTTTTGAAAAATTCAAGGTGGCGTGTAATATACCGATGCTTCAAGGCAGAGTGTAATATACCGATGCTTC